ATCTCGTCCGTTGCAGCAAAAGCTGATCCGACGGTCCAAACTCCAAGTGATATGAAAATATTCCAAGGTCGCATTCAGAAGATTTCGGTGTCCGGGTCGACTCGTTTCCTGTATCAATTCTCGATCGTCGATTTTGAATGTCGAAAGATCGGACGCTCCGATGAATTTCGCGGCTTGCGAGGTCTCGTTCCCATTCGCGCTGAAACTCAAACTCGCTCAGTTTCGTTTTTGCATCAGTCGATCTGAAGCGTCGAATCTCCATCCGACGGATGTCGTCGGTCGCAGCTTCGCATATTTCGGCGAAACTCCAAGAGTCGTGGCGAACTGCGAACTTCTTGGAATGTCGCAGGGCATGTTCCGCCATATCTTACGCGGTCGCGAGATCAAGGCCGTTTGCCCACGCGAAAAATTGGCTCCGTCGATGCGGTCCATCGAACTGTTAGCGAGGCATCTCGCCTTTGTAGGGGACCCCAGGTGCAACTGCGTGAGGTTAGTCGAAACTTAATATGAAATCGCATTGTAGTTACAGGAATTGAAGTTTCGACTCCATCTTCGGCGTGCTCCTGGGGGTCCGGCGGTTAAGCGTTGAGCTGAAACCTCTGGCTCTGATTACCAGGTGTCACAGGATCGAATGAGGTCTGCTCAATGTTGCACTATCCATGAGTACAAGGAGCTTTTATACTTCCAAGGTACATCAAGTAACGATGTTTATCCTATCCAAAGGGAATAGACCCATCTAGAAATGGAATCGACCTACGTATAGTGAAGCTATTGGCTGTAAGGGATTATGGCAAGATTACGCTAGATATAGCGTGCCAGTACATCTCGAGCCTGGATCAGTAATATAATAATAGGATTAACCAAAGGATAATGGAAAAAGAGGAATAGGAAACCTAATGAGATGAGACAAAGACCAAATGAATCAGGATAAAAAGAGAAATGAAATAGAAAGAAAATATGAAAAGGGGACATTGGTGTAACGGGTTCGTATTCTACACCTGGCAGCCGCAAAGACCTCACAGTGCGCCGACGTCGTCTCAGGGTCAAGGGGGGCGAGCAGCTCACCAGTAATGTGGGCCGCTAGCGACTCGCCCTCAAAGCGCTAGCTCACCAGCTGGCGGCGGAACGAGGAGAGCCATGCCGAGAAGCCCACGACATGACCCTCAGCGTCCAGGTGAAGAACAAAAATAAAAGTCGAGGGGGTCGTCATGCCGGCAAGAGGAAGTACCCGACAAGGAGCAGGGGCCGGCACGGTCGGCGGGCGGTGGTAGACCCGACAGGAGCACCAACGACAGGTGCAGGGGCAGCGCTGATTGTATAGTGACAACGGTTGTGCTGGCGGCTGCAAAGCCAGCAACGTGTGGGTGGGAGCTGATAGCGGACAGCCGGTGACCGGCGGCGGCAACAACTGGCAGCTGACTACTAGTGACCAGCTATGGGAGGCCGGCACCTGGCAACTGCAGGAACAAGGAGGAGAAAAGTGGCGGGGGAATGCCGACGCCAGGTGCAGAAGGCTCACTAGCCGTTGTAGCGGCAGTGGCAGCTGTGGCCGGAGCGGTGGAACGGTGGCTAGCTGATAGCTGACGGCCGGTGTCTGGTGGCACTTGGTTGCTAGGCGGCTGGCAGCAGGGCAGGTGGTGGCAGGTAGCGGCTGGCGGCAGCAGGCAGCTGGCAGTAGGCTGGAGCAGCGAGCGGCAGGCTGGCAGCAGTGGCAGGCAGGCGGCATTGACAGGCCAGCGACAGGTTGGCAGGCTAGTGGCAGGCAGCAAGCTGGCAGCAGAAGCGGCAGGCTGTCATCAGCAGTAACGGCAGGCTGACGGCAGCGGCAAGCTGGCGGCAGTGGCAAGCTGGTAGGTAGCAGGCTGGCGGCAGCAGCAGGCTAGCAGCGGCAATGGCAGGTCGGCAGCAGCGGCATCGATAGGCTGGCAAGCAGCAGACTGGCAGTGGTTGTGGGAGGCCAGCGACGAGCAGGCAGGCGGTAGCGGCAGCGGCAACAAGCGACAGGCTGGGCACAAGCTACTAGCTACAGGTATAAGCCAGGGCATAAGCTAGGACGGTAGACTAGGTCCTAACCTTGTCTAAGGAGGTAAGCTAGGGTGGGAGAGGAGTGGGGTGGGGACTACGTAGGGCGGAAGCGCAACGGCTAGGAGCTAACCTAGAATGATACCATATCGAAAGAAAAATGTTGACTAGGGAAGGGTAGTACAGAGTGTTAAGACTAGAAAGAATGATAGCTAGGAGTAGGAGGAGCCATTGAAGTGGCGTTGGGTTTTAGGCTAGGCAAGGTATTGAGAGAGAAGAGGGTTTGGACTAGAAGAGAAGGATATACAAGAAGGGGGTAGTCCCCTCTATAGTAGGATTCAGTAAGTAGCATAACCAAGCCTACAATTATATATAAAAATATATAATTTAACACACCCCCTAGGCTTGGTAGTGGCAAGCCCATCCCACCCCCAGCACCCCCACATCCTCGCACCCCCATTCCCTGCAGCAGCAGTGGCGTCGACCAGTCGGTCGACCCCTCGGCGACCGAGGTGGCGACGTCGACGGCTGGTCGCAGCGGCGGCAGCGACGTCGGCGACTCCGGCGGCGGTGGCGGCAGGGCGTGCAGCACCTGCGGTGGCGGCGGCGGCGTCGAGGCACCTGGCGATGGCGACTGCGGCACCCGAGGCAACGGCGGCATGGCTCAACCTGAGATGACGAGGGGGAGGACGACACGAGGTCGCCACCAGCCTGCAGCAGAGGTGACTGCAGGGAAGGAAGGAGCTAGGCATCCTTGTTTTGCGGCGGGGCGGAGCCGGTTGGCGTGGCAAGCTGGGACCGACACTGCGAGCGGGGTCCGTTGGGACCGACACGGCGAACTCGGTCCGACGCAACGAGCTGGGTCCGACGCGGCGAGCAGGGTCCGATACGACGAGCTGGGAGGCGCGGGGAGCTGGAGAGCGGGGGCTTGCTGCCTGGTGCCTAAACCAATGCTCGACCCACTACCGCCCGTGCGCTGACGTCGACGACGTTGTCACGCCGCCACGACTCGACGTCGATGCTGCCGCTACGGCTTGACGTCGACACCACGATGGCGACGCCACGACAGCACGTCGAGACGGTCGCGGCAAGGCTGCCACGGCAGCACGACAAAGCCGCCATGGCAGCATGACACGGCCGCCACGGCGGCGCAGAAGTAACTAGAAGTGGGGGGGTACGCGGCGAAAGCATGAGGAGGCGACCCAACAGGGCGGACCTCCGGCTCTGAAACCATGTTAAGACTAGAAAGAATGATAGCTAGGAGTAGGAGGAGCCATTGAAGTGGCGTGGGGTTTTAGGCTAGGCAAAGTGTTGAGAGAGAAGAGGGTTTGGACTAGAAGAGAAGGAGATACAAGAAGGGGGATAGTCCCCTCAACAGTAGGATTCAGTAAATAGCATAACCAAGCCTACAATTATATATAATTTAACACAGAGAGTATATCTAGTGTTGCACTCTATACAATCTGAACATTAGCAAGGCTACAGTTCATATAGCCTAACACATATAAATACGAACGCTTGCACCAAATTGTACCCTACCCAACCATGCTAGGTTGCCATTCGAACGCTTTGAAACGCAAAGCAAGTTACTCCACCGCAATCAGACGTACTATTTTGACCCGCCCTTAGGACGCGGTACAATGATCGTTTTGTGATCCTCATACTGTATAAAGCGGGTTACCACACTGCTACTGTGCCCTTAAAATGGGTACTTACCAAGATTGTCTCACAATATCACTTTTAGGACAATCGCGCCAAATCAGTTTCACATCGGACGCCCGATCGATTTGCGTGCGAAGGTACCAGATCGCCCATCCCAAATAGTCACGGAATCTGCAGCGAGTCGCGAAATTGCGAAGAGAAAGCCAAAATACGTGAAAATAAATGGTCGGAGAAATTTGCGGAAGGGTTGGCTGGTTGTCGTGTTTTGACACGGTTCGTTGGCGAGGCAAGCATCTGCAGGGCTGCAAACGATCACGGGGATCAGAAACTGCAAATCTGGTACATATAGCGGGTACGGAAATAGAATCCGAAGATAAGTTTTGAATGTCCAAATCTATTTCGGGAAAAAATGAAAACGGAAGAGTACACGCGATCTTGCAAAACGGACACTATGTACTGCGTCCTTAGAACGACGAATTCCGAAACTCCCATTGGCCGAGACACCTTTCTCGTTACTGTACAGCAGAAGGATCGCGAAGCCGATTTCATGCGACGTTACACTGCAAGACACATTCACTCACCCAATCCATGAATGTGTGGTCCGAGTAGAATTTGACGTGGTCCGAAAGAATTTGACGTGGTCGAATTTGATGTGGTCCGAATTTGATGTGGTCCGAAGCACACAAAGCAGTGGCAGCGATATCAGGCATCTCTCAAGACCCACCCACACCTCCTCGGAGGAAGTCACCACACCTGCTGCTGTACTACAGTTCAGTACTGTAACAAGTTTAGTGACCCGCAGTGCCACCCATGAAGGCTTTGTGGCAGGCCCATCAGGCCTGGGTCGTTCCGCACGATCCAGCTGTGACCTCATCGTCCCTGTGCAGCGACAGCATGCGGCGCTCCAGCATCGCCTGCCTGGCTTCACGCCGGGCTCCAGCGGCGGCGGTGGGGAGCCGCCAGGGGATGGCGCATGAGCGGGTGCGGCGCGCGCTGGCCCTCGCATCATGGTGCCTCGCCGCCCTTGCCGCCACGACGCCCCTCGCCACCGCAGTGCCGCTGGAGGCTACGCAAGGTGAGAGGCGGCGCCTCGTTGCGTCCAGAATACATGACCAACATTAGCGTGCGTTGCCCTTGTTCAATCAATCCCCACGGCCCAATCTGACGTTGCTACGTGCGCTCCTCACCCCTCTCGTTCCCCACTCTTAAACACGCACCACCACCTGCTCTTGTTTCCCTCACCCCTCCTCACTCCCACCTCCCACTTGCCATGCCCCCCCCCCCCTCCTCCCCTTCCCCCCCCCCCCCATCGCAAAAAATGTATGCTCGCAAAACGATTGCGTAGCATTCGCGCAAATGCTTTGCAAACGTTTTGCGAACATGTGGGTGAAAATTCATGGCGGACTTAGATTAGAACACTTGGCGAATGCTTTGACAACATTTCCCGAAACACTTTTTGGTTCACGACAGCGAATGCTTAGAGGTGTCTTTTCGGTAATCTCCGTGGTTCGTTTACAAATGCATGGCGGCGTTCTTTCTACAACTTTTGCAGTAAACATGTAAATGCATAGAGAAGTTTATGCTCACCATTTTTAGTATTCAGCATGATTTGTTGCAAACGTTTGGCGGTGTTTTTCATGGATCCGTTTTTGCAGGCTGCAGTACCCTTTTGGGCATGGTTCAGTACAATTAGGGCATGCCTCGTTTGGATTTACTTAAAATGCAACAAGCAAATTATTTGATATATTAAAAAAAACATCTACACTACAGTACACAACCACTATGGCCCAACCGCCCTTGCCTACCAGCACCCCTATGTGGGTCCCGCACTAACACAAAGAGAAACTGAGCGGCGGCACACCAGGAGCAGCAATTCTTGAAACTGGATTGGAATTCCTGCACGTTACGTTCAGAACTTGTTATCTCGAAATTAATCCAAGGTCGAAATCACCAACAATAAGGACAATGCTTACAACAACGAAGTAGCGCGACGCTGGATATTGAGTCGTGCACATTAGGTTCAAACATTGTAATCAAATTAGTTATATTCCATACGACAGCAATTACAAGAGCCAGCTTACCGGAGGAAATAGCACGTGGTAGGCTACAAATTTCTGCACGTCATACGAGACATTGTTGTGAAATTAGTCCGACGATCAAATGACCAGCGAGACTTACAATTGGACTTACATGGGGAATTATCTCGATGTTGGACAGAGTTACATAGCTAGCTGCGATAAAGACAAGCATCGTGAGGACACATGCGAATCATTAGTTTGATTGATACGTCAAGTAACAAATGCCTTCATACCCCCATGGCGTGCTGTGTGTGCCCGTATCGTGCGTGCATGGCACCCTCCACCAGCAGCCCCGCCTGGAATCGCCCCGCACACCACTCCGACGCCGGGCGACTACCCACCGCTGTCACGCCCGCACTGCTTGGAGAGAGGAGGGGGTGGCAGGGGGCGGAAGCGGGAGGGTGGAGTGACGGTGTGCGCAAGAGTCGGGGAAGAGCGCACAAGACATGGAAGAACAGAATGGAGGCTGCACTCCTTGTGGCGGCTGCACTCCTCGTGGTGGCTGCACTCCTCGTGGCTGCCTCACCATGAGGGCCACGCGTGCACAGCACACTCACACGATCACACGTATCAACGTGCGAACGCCACACTCTCCCCCACACTTCCTTGCCCTGTCATGCAGCAGGCCCTTCCCACTGCCCCCCACACTCGCACGTGCCTGCGAATGCCCTCTCATGGGCCTCTCTACTCCAGCAACCCATCCGTGGCACCTGTATGACCCCCCCCTCTCCGCCTGGCCATGACTGTTCACCTGTAGTCGAAGTAACGGTGCAGGGAGGCGAGGGAGGAGGAGAGATGGCGCGAGGAGAGAGACTCGTGGTGCTGCCACAGATGCACCTGATGCCATGCACCCACGCCATGCACCCATGTGATGCCATGCACCCATGTGATGCCATGCACCCATGTGATGCCATGCACCCATGTGATGCCATGCACCCATGTGCCATGCGCCCATGCCATGCCATGCAGCCATGTGATTCCATGCAGCCATGTGAAAGAAAGAGGTGAGTAAAGGCAAGGAGAGTGGTAGGTCGCATGGAGAGGCGTGGCGTGCAAGAGCCAAAAGGGGGTGGCATGGGCACGCAACAGGCAGAACAGAGGGCACACGGATGGGCTGCCAGGGATGGCTTCACACCGCCATGCATATAGCAAGGCACATGTATGCACCTTGGGTGGCAGGTCGTGCGCATACGCCATGGCGCTCACGTCGTCTGGCAGCGCACCACCCATGGCGCCAGCATGCCCCCCTTCACTGCTCCTCGGGCCTGCTGCTGCTGTGCCCAACCTGCAGCGCACACACGATGGACGGATGGATGGGGCATGCGCGTGAGAAGGGGAGTGCACGAGAGCGGATGCTCTCCATTCCGCTCTGCCCCCTCCACCTTCCCACACACACTACTAGCCATGCCTCTCTGCACGAGTCACGCCGCACCGCTGCTGCGCCAAGCACACACGTGGCAAGCACACACATGGCAAGCACAGCTCCAGGGGCGAGGGGGAGAAAGAGCAGCTGGGACGAGCGAAAAGGGAGAGAGGGCACGAAAGGGGGATCGAGACGGGCATAGACGGAACGAGTACAGGAGAGAGGAAAAGGACAGTGGCGAGAAGCGAAACAAGGGAAGAGATGTTTCACCACCGTGCTCGCATCTGCTGGCGTCCGCGCACTTGGTGGCCGCCTCCATGCGCGCATCTAGGTACTCCGCCAGGCGCCCCGCCTCCCGAAGATACCGCTTCTGCGTGCCGCCTCCTCCCCCTCGCCCCTCCTTACTCTCCCGCCCCCCCAATGGCGCATTAGCTCATGAACATGCAGATAAGAATGACATGGGTGAACAAGACTAGTCACCTACGAGCTGCTTGAAACGATAGACCATCGTGAAACGAGATCCTCAGCACAGGGCGCACTAAGAACGACCATGGTAATCGAAGCCTGTGGGAGAGGAAGGAGCTGCTCACTAGGGGGCGCGAAGGCGAGAATGGGAGCTGAAACTGATGCAGATAGAACTGCCGAGGGCTATTATTGTAAGTAACGTCTAGCTGGAAGGCATGAGAGGGCACAAGGGGGCAAGTAAGGAAGGGATCAGAAGTGTGTGGTGGGCTGGAGTGCTGGCATGTGGGGTGCAGCGTGGTGGGCTGGGTGGTTGGGGCGAGCAGGTGGTTGAGCTGGATTAGCCGCTCTGGAACCACTTGGCAGATTTTGATTGGTTGGACGAGGTGCAGGGGCTGAGTTGGATGAATAAATTTTGTTGGGTTCGGTTGCAGGTGAAGGGTGGGGGCAAAGGGTGTGTGATTGGTCAGCACGTCATTTTGTGAATAGGGGCGTGTTTCTACAGACCCGAATATCAAGCAAATAGGACCTGAAATTTTGGATCCCAAAATCCGCGCGCTCTATAGCACGCTGTAATTTGCGATTCAATTCGGTTCAGTTTGGTATTCACAAATTTCATAAAGCCGTGTTTTGCACCGATTCCGTTGGACTACGCCCTTCTTGGTGGTTGGATGGAGGTGTTGTAGCCAACACTTGTTACTATATATGCTAAGACGTTTTCGATATATCTCAGTGTGTGTCTTGGATTTGTTTAGTAGATTAAATCGCTTTCCATGGGAACTTGACTTTCTGAATGTATCTAGACTAATATGACTTTATGCTAAAGATAAAAAGCTACTCTTGTTGCCAAAATTGGTGCCAAGTTCATGTACTCTTACAGAACGACCGACAAGCCGTTCATAACCTGAAAAGGTCGCATATATATGTGGCAGGAAGAATGTAACAAACTTGAGGGACCTCAAAATTCAAGTTGGCTTTACAACCCTGGACCAACTCAGTTACAAGGTGTCGTTCACATATGTAGGGTTACATAATTTCCATTTTCTGCAGCCGTCGTAGATGATGCTAGAGAAGAGACATGGTTAGCATTTGCCAATAACGGCTGAATGTCTGAATGCGTGGCCGCACGGAGATCACCCACAGAATGTGGTTTGTTGAGAGATGCACAGGGGAGTGAGTGGATAGGTTTGGGGTGAAGTCTGGCTTTTAACGGAGAGGTTGTCCAAGGTGAGCTTGACTAGCAATCATGTGCCACCCGGTAGGCTGCGAGAGAGCGGGGAGGAGGGGAGGGGGGGGAGGGGGGGGGGGGGGGGGGGAGAAAGAGATGGGGGCATACGTTAGTGGGGGGCGGGGGGTTGAGAGGGGTTAGTTATAGAGTGTTTACTGCCTGTCCTGCCGGGATCCCGCTCACACTTACTGCCCTCTCCCCCTCCCCTGCTTCATGCCACTCCCCCTCCTCTGTCCTCATGCCTCTCCCCCTCCCCTGCCCTCATGCATCTCCCTCTCCCCTGCCCTCATGCGTATCTGCCTCCCCTCTCCTCATGCTCCTTTCCCTCCCCATCTCCTCCAGCTGTCCCTGCCTCTCACGCCCTCACGCCTCTCCCACTCCTCTGCTCTCACTCCTACCCCCCTACCCTCACTGCAATCCATCTTTCCCCACTCTCCTGCACTCACGCCACTCCCCCTCCCCTACCCTAACACCCTCTCCCCCTCCCATGCCCCTCACGCCTCTTCCTCCCCCGCCCTCACGCCTCTTCCCCTCCCCATCTCCTCCAGGCTGCACTCTCCCTTTCCCCACTCCCCTACTCGTACCCCTCTTTCCCTTCCCTTCTCTCACCTCTCGCTCCCTCCATGGCTCTTGCGCCTTCCCACATCCCCCCCTATCACGCACCTCATACCTCAATGCTCTCCCATCTCTCCCCCTCCCCTACTCTTACGCCTCTCCCCCTCCCCTGCACTCACGCCTGCTCTCATGCCTCACTCTCTCCCTGCTCTCATGCCTCACTCCCTCCCTGCTCTCGTGCCTCACTCCCTCCTTGCTCTCATGCCTCACTCCCTCCCTGCTCTCACGCCTTCCCCCCTCCACTGCTCTCGTGCCCCTCTCCCTCCCCTCTCGCCTCTCCCGCTTGCTACTATCTGTTGTCTTCCCCATCCCTGCGGCCTCGCTTTCTTCCCTGCTGCTGCGCCTTGAACCTTTATCTGTTTTCATTCAATGAGAAGGCAGGGGATTGCGGCGCGCGAAAAAGCGGGTAACACGTTACAACGTGGGAAAGTGGGAAGCGACCCGCAAGGGAAAGCGGGAAGCGGTCCGCGAGGTGAAGCGGGAAGCGCTAGTCGCTACCGGGGGAAAGCGGGATGTGAAAAGGGGGGAATGGCAGAAACAGGAAGCGGGGGAAAGCGGCATGCCGGAAGCTAGGGGAAGCGGGTGGCGGGAAACAGGGGAGAGAGGCAGCAGCGGATTAGCGAGGGCAAGCGGGGTGCGGGTCGCAAGGGAATGTGGGAAGCATGGGAATGCGCGAAGCATGTGAATGCGGGGAGCACGGGGAGCATGGGAATGTGGGGAGCATGGAATGAGGGGAGCATGGGAAAGCGGGGGCATGGGACAGCGGTGAGCATGGGAATGCGGGGAACAAGGGAAAGCGGGATGCGGGGAGCAAGGAATGCGGGGAGCATGAGAATGCGGGGAGCATGGGAATGCGGGGAGCATGGGCAAGCGGGGTGCAGGGAGCAAGGGAATGCGGGGAGGATGGGAAAGCATGGTGCGGGGAGCAAGGGAATGCGGGGAACATGGGAATGGGGGATGTGGGGAGCAAAGAAATGCGGGGAGCAAGGGGATGCGGAGAGCAAGGGGATGCGGAGAGCATGGGAAAGCGGGGAGCAAGGGAATGCGGAGAGCATGGGAAAGCGGGATGCGGGGAGCAAGGGAATGCGGGGAACATGGGTATGCGGGGAGGATGGGAAAGCAGGGTGCGGGGAGCAAGGAATGCGGGGAACATGGGAATGCGGGGAGCATGGGAAAGCGGGGTGCGGGGAGCAAGGGAATGCGGGGAACACGGGAATGCGGGGAGCATGGGAATGCGGGATGCGAGGAGCAAGGAAATGCGGGGAGCATGGGAATGCGGGATGTGGGGAGCAAGGAAATGCGGGGAGCAAGGGAATGCAGAGAGCATGGGAAAGCGGGATGCGGGGAGCAAGCAAGGGAATGCGGGGAACATGGGAATGTGGGGAGGATGGGAAAGCGGGGTGCGGGGAGCAAGGGAATGCGGAGAGCATGGGAAAGTGGGATGCGGGGAGCAAGGGAATGCGGGGAACACGGGAATGTGGGGAGCATGGGAATGCGGGATGCGAGGAGCAAGGAAATGCGGGGAGCATGGGAATGCGGGATGTGGGGAGCAAGGAAATGCGGGGAGCAAGGGAATGCAGAGAGCATGGGAAAGCGGGATGCGGGGAGCAAGCAAGGGAATGCGGGGAACATGGGAATGCGGGGAGGATGGGAAAGCGGGGTGCGGGGAGCAAGGGAATGCGGGGAACACGGGAATGCGGGGAGCATGGGAATGCGGGATGCGGGGAGCAAGGAAATGCGGGGAGCATGGGAATGCGGAGAGCATGGGAAAGCGGGATGCGGGGAGCAAGGGAATGCGGGGAACATGGGAATTCGGGGAGGATGGGAAAGCGGGGTGCGGGGAGCAAGGGAATGCGGGGAACACGGGAATGCGGGGAGCATGGGAATGTGGGATGCAAGGAGCAAGGAAATGAGGGAAGCATGGGAATGCGGGATGTGGGGAGCAAGGAAATACGGGGAGCAAGGGAATGCAGAGAGCATGGGAAAGCGGGATGCGGGGAGCAAGGGAATGCGGGGAACATGGGAATGCGGGGAGGATGGGAAAGCGGGGTGCGGGGAGCAAGGAATGCGGGGAACATGGGAATGCGGGGAGCATGGGAAAGCGGGGTGCGGGGAGCAAGGGAATGCGGGGAACATGGGAATGCGGGATGCAAGGAGCAAGGAAATGCGGGGAGCATGGGAATGCGGGATGTGGGGAGCAAGGAAATGCGGGGAGCAAGGGAATGCAGCGAGCATGGGAAAGCGGGATGCGGGGAGCAAGCAAGGGAATGCGGGGAACATGGGAATGCGGGGAGGATGGGAAAGCAGGATGCGGGGAGCAGGGAATGCAGGGAACATGGGAATGCGGGGAGCATGGGAAAGCGGGATGCGGGGAGCAAGGGAATGCGGGGAGCATGGGAAAGCGAGATGCGGGGAGCAAGGGAATGCGGGGAACATGGGAATGCGGGGAACATGGGAATGCCGGGAAAATGGGAATGAGGGAAGCATGGGAATGCGAGGAGCATTGGAATGCGGGGAGCAAGGTAATGCGAGGAGCATGGGAAAGCGGGATTCGGGGAGCAAGCGATAGCGGGACGCGGGTGAAAGCGGGTGGAAGGAAGCGAGGGACAGCGAGATGCTGCAGCACGTGAAGGTGAGATGCGGACGTGCTTTCGAAAGCGGGAAGCGGGGATTTGGGAAGCAAGGAAGCGCGAGGACAGGGATAGCACGATGTGGGAAGCCGCGGGTGGCATTTTCGTACGAGGAGATCGAAGGCGGCGGGAAGCTATAGCGGCCCGCAACGGTGGGCCGTTAGCAGCGGGGGATTCGTCATTTGTTTCCTTCCCTTGTTTTCAGGCGCTGGTGATTTCGTCCAGGCTAGGCTACGCGCGCCAAGAACCTCAATTGATATCCGCGTTCACTAGCCTGACAATGGTGTCGCCTCGATCCCATCTTATAAGTCGCTACCAACTCTCTAGCATGGCTACGCATGAGCATGGATCTAGGAGGAAACGAGGGCAAGTCGAGAAAATTACAGATCCCGAATT